AGACTTTAGCTATGATTTAGAATTGGTCAGGGAAAGCTCCTGTTTGGTTCTGGTAGTATTTTGATTAAGGAGGTGTTCCAAGCTTTGTCCCAATATTTAATTAGAAATCTAATATATTATGGAGCTAATTCAGGATTCTTTTTTACAAATCTCAAGAACTGAGGGCAAAAATATGACTAGAAAATACATACAGGTCATTCTGAGGCCGGGTAATTGATGCTGAAGGCAAGTCTGTGCCCGACTAATGTGCGTTTTAAATCATGGTCTTTCTCATTCAGTCCACAACTGCTGTGTTCTGAATAGCTGTGAGAGAGATTAGTTTACATATTCAAAACAAAAATATTTTCACATTTTCCCCTTGTGAACAATCAGCTGGTTTTGTACATCCTGAGGTGTACTGATTTCTGATGTTCTTAGTTTTATTATTTCCTTGTATATGTCAAATTATTACATTTTCTGTGAGCCTTAAACACTGTAATTTTGGGAATATACAGGCTGTTCATAGGTTTAGTAGGAAACTGTTGGACTTCAAGGCTCATGTATCTGCCTCTGTGTGTTTGCATTTGTCATGTATGTATAGATATGTGCATGTCTGTACACATTTATTTTTTCCATGTTGCAGGTATTTCTAGGTGTCAGAAATGTGATGGCACTATGGGGTGAAAGCACAGAACATTCTAAAAAAGATTTTAAAGTCTCAGAACCAAAGATTATCCACAAACATAGAGAAATTTTGTAGTTGAAATGTGTCTTAAAGTTCTTTGCATCTCAGTTGCCCTTTTTCTATAAAAAATATTAAAAAAAAGGCAATTATCACCTTTTGATAGGCTTATTTTTAAAACAGTTGCTGTAAAGATCTAAGTCCTGTTTTATCTGCATCATAAGATATAAAGTGGAAGGCGATAGTGAAAACAATCTGGATAATTTATTTCAACAGGATGTACAAATCAAAAGAGAAAATTCCACTAAAGAACTTGAGGTAGAGAGATATTCTTCTGTTTTTGTTTACTGGGTTACTTTTAAGTGATGACAAACAGTCTCGTGTGTGTTTAGAAGCAAAGTGGTTCTGGAGGACCTGACAGTGGCACAGTAAATGCACTTCATAACTATTCGCATCTTGGGTGCACATGCAGAAACAAGTGTGGCAGAAAGATGAATGCAAGCCAGAAGGACAAGGAACTATTTTGTCATGAGATGACTGAGATGGACTTGTTGAACTATGTAATGATAATTTGAAAATATTTTTGTGAGCAGAAGTAATGTTCCTATTCCATTACTTGTAGATACCTGATGTACATTGCTGGACAATATTTAGGCAGCTACTAGGTATACTAGGCGTGTGTGAAAACACTTACAAATGTGGCACCAGCTTATTATGTGCTCATCACATCTATAATTGTCTTTCAGAAATTTTTGTTATTACTATTAACTATTCTTTTTGAAAATGTATCCAGTCAGAAGGCATGAGGATCACCATATTATTCTGCTGAACTGCCATACCATGTGAATTAAAAATAGAGAATAAGCAGTGGACTATAGGAAGTTCTTATAAAACACAGGAAGAATATTTGAAATAATAATGTACTTAGAACTCACAACTGGCTCACAAATGCAATTCATTAAAAATGTAGGGCTGAGTCAGTGAATGTTGTTGACAATGGAAAATTTTTGAAGATCTTTTTAGGGAGGATGGGAGAGAAGAAAAATGAATATCAGGTCATGACAGAGGAAATAAGAGGGAATTTAAATCAAACTATAGCTTCTCAGTGGAATTAAATTCCTAAACTGACTGCAAAAGCTTGTGATGTTTAAATCATAAACATCTTTACTTGGGAATTCTCTGCAGGTTTTCTGACATGATAAAGTTTATCAAAGCAGGGACAAGGGCTTTGTAAAGTGATGAAAATTAAAGTGAGGACTGCCTGTTGCAACTCTGACCTCTCTGTACTCTTCAGTGACGAGCAGCACAGAACAGCAGGGCCTGAGTCTTGGTACATCAGTGAAACATGATATGGATTTGTTGTTTAGGAGTTTAATGAACAGAAGGGGTCAGATTTCCCTTGCAGTATATGTTAGCATCTTTTTAATCCTGGAAATCTTCTTAACAGCCAAATATGTTTGTTGTAGATCAAAGAAGCCTTTGTTTTTTTAAACCACCTAGAACTGCATTTCTCAAAAAAGGCATACTAAGAATTGCGTATTAAATGAAGAAAAAAAGGCAGGTATCTTCCTCATGAATTTTACTCCAGGATTATAAAACCCATTCCTGACACTTGCATGCTATTTTATAGATAGCATGGATCTTTAGTTTCATATTTATATGCCAACAACGAACATCATGTTCCTGTTAATATTTTGATAAAACTTTGATGCTTCTATAATTGTATTAAATGGTCAGCCACATTAGTATGGTACAAAACTTTTGCTTAGGATGCCTTATACATTTGGGAGGGCTGAAGTTCAGAAATTTCTGTTGAGAAATAGGTTGCTAGGGGCCTTTAAGACCAGACTGGAAAAGCAAGAATGGCTGCCTTAATTGTGTCTGGAGTGGGCAGATCAGTGATGTTGGCCATTCAGGATGATTTCTAGCCCTGCAGTTCTCTTGAAAAATGAAAAATAATGCATATTCGTAGCTTATTTAAGCAAAAGCAGCAGGAGTCAGCTCAATTGGTGATCTGGATCTGCATATTGATTCATATGCAGATGAATCAATAGCCAAAAAGCAAGTAGGACATTTTTGGTTATGGTAATATCTGAATTGTTCTGAATACAGCTAGAGAAATAATGCTATAAATACTTAATGTCTTAATTCAGATTTGTTCCTTAGCAATCATCTATCCTTCCTCCAAAATGCAGCAGTTTAAGTTATGTTTAATAATTGAAATTTTAGAATTTATTCTGAAGTTCTGCTTTTCATCTAAAATAATAATTACAGCTTTATCAGTGGCACCTTTCATTTAACTCTTTTCAAAGTTTTTTTTTTCTTTTTTACTAGCAGAAAACCACTGTGGATGTTAGAAAATTAAACTCAGGTTTAGATCTAGGTAAATTGCCCTTGACGTATCCCATTGTAATGGACATCAGAAACCAGCCCATATACAAGAGAACAGTCATACCCACTTTATTGATGTAACTGCTGTATGTACAAGCAGATGTAAGGCTCCAGAACGCTGGAGAAATGCCAACTTTCTGAAAAAAAAGATGTTTCTTTCAAAATAACGGATGCATTTTTATAGTAAACAAACAAGCAAAACACTGCTGTGCTTCTCCATCTGAGAGTGATGGACAGGGTGAAGAGATCATGAAAATACAGAGGTTTCATAGCAACCCAGTTGGAAATTTTATTTTCTTTCTTATGTTTTCACAATTCTTCATCAACATTAGCCGCAAGTGCTGTCAATCTCCACAGGAATCTAATAGAAAAATTGTTAAGAGTCAGAGTGCTTTTGTTTGGAATTTAGTATCCACCTGAAACAAAAAGGAGGTTGCATTGTTGCTGTAACTCACTCGTTGAGAAAGTTGTGAAGAACTAGGTAGGAGAGCTGCTTTTGGATGTGATAATAGCAAAAGTTACACCTGACCTCCCAAATGTGCATGCTTATCTGGAAGCCCATGTTTCCAATTCTGCATTTTATTCCGTGTACTTCCAAGCAGAATTACACAGGAATCATTGTACAATTGGACACACCTTTGACTTTTTAGAAGAATTTGGGTCAGTGTTTTCTTGGAGTTGATCTGTTCATTCACAAAGCATGTGGGAGTGTCCTCTAAGGGTCTTTCTTTCAATGCAGAGCATTAAAAGAGCATGGTTTGAAAATTAGTGAAAGCCTTTGTATTACTGAAGAGAAGCAGCTCAGGCTGCTGTGTAACACCTTGAAAGATCCAGTAAAGAGTGAGGGCTTGTCTCAAGTGTTCTCTCCATGTGCTGTGGCCAGCTCTTAGCAATGCAGAACAGTTCCTTGCCATGCCAGGTATGGCTGCATTTAGGTGTGCTCTATCCCTGGAGTTTGCATATGTGCCTTATCCACTTGGAGAGAGGTGATCTGTAGTCTTAGAGGAAGCAATTCCCTAAATCTTAGAATTGCTGAGTTCCTGTCTAGGCAAATGGAGAACATTGCCACATTTGGGGTGTACATCAGCAGTTATATTCTCTGGAATTACAAAATCTTACATAGATAAAAAACCCCAAGAAAACAAACAAAATAAACAAAACAAAAAATTAATGCACTTGGATTTACTGACAAAAATCTCAATATTTTGGGATGCTTTTGACAGACATGTGTAAGAAGTTGGGCTTTTTTTGGTTGTGGTAAATACCACAGGTGTTACACCTTGGAGCCTTTCCTTGCTAAAGGAATCATCACTGAGGACACTTGAAATTCTTGTGTTCTGATTGCCAGATACAATTCAAGTAGATGCAAGTGTCTGCACCAGCTCTCTGTATTAAGCAAATTAATTGCGTTAATTGTATTAAGCAATTTAATTGCATTTGTGCTGCAAAGAACAAATGTTTGGCAAATAGATATGAACCAAATTTTATTCTAGTATCTTGAGCCTGGGAATTGCTGAGCTAACCATTTATTTCTATGGTTTTTCATGACTTGGAACAATAGTTTAATCTTAGCCAAGACATCTTTCTTAAGGAATATTACACTGAAACATCAAAAAAAACCCAGTTGGAATTTAAATATTCAAGCAATTTTAAACTATCAATATATATTAGGGTTGTTTTTTCCCTTTTCTATTATCCTTGAGTGCCTTTTATTTTGCCACAAGTTATGATTGAAAGTTGTAGAAGTTAATAGAAATTGCACATTACTCAGGAGCAGAGAAATGGGCCCTGCTGTCTGTGACCTCATTCCCACAAGCTTGTGAGCTTTATCCCCAGTTCCTTTGCTGGAGTCCGTCGCCTCCCGAGCTATAGAATGTTTGCAGTGAGCATCTTTAATGCAATGAACAGATGTGTGTAATAACCACTCAATGTTTTGCTAGGTTTTGCAATGGAACAGGTATGGTTGCTGCTCCTGCTGACGATTAAAGTGCTCCCAGTGACTGCTCAGTTCAATGGATACAACTGTGATGCTAACCTCCATAGCAGGTTTCCTGGTAAGTATTTAATAGACTTTTTTTCTAATGGCTTCTTTATTGTCTTGCTTCAAAGCAGTGCTTATTTTTAAATACAGAGTTTTAAATCTGTCTAAGGCCTGGGGGTAGGACTCCACATTAAGTGAGTGTTAACTGTTTTTGTGACAATGAACTTGCCTAATGCTGCACTTTGCTTCCTTCTTAATTGCACAATGAGTCAAATTCAGCCTGGTAGCAAAGCAAACAATTCCCCTCACACCAGTGGGGCTTGACCTGCTTTTGCCAGTGCTCTAAACTGTCCAAGACATTTACCAGAGCTCATATTATTGTAAATGTTCTCTATAGATTTAACACTCTCACACTTCTTACTGGGTTTTCTTTCATGTTTAGGTTTTATAGTTTTCTTTTCCTGAGTAAGAGAATATAATTATATCCTTTTAGTAAAATAAAGAAATATGAATCTATTTTAAGCAAAATTATCTTGATGGCAAAATTTTAGTGCCTCACTTCAACATTAAGGCCTTGCTTGGGGACAGGTGAAGCAATGAGTTTTGTCTATGGATGATGTATTTTCCTTCCTCTAAGAAAATGGGAATGAAGTCATTTTGGGGACATTGGGTGTTCAGAGCTGTTAATACAATGAGAAATAGAAATGAAATGTCAGTCTTGGTGGCATGGTATCAGGGTTTACTCAGGCAAAGGATCCTTTTAGTTTCTATTACATTGCTGATCCTTCCTGCTTCAGTTGTATTATGGGCAGAATAATAATAATAAAAAGAAGGCTGTGAATACTGTCTCTCTCACATCTTGTTTTTCTGAGATAGCGATTGAATTGAATAGCTCAGTAATGAACACTCAGTGTAGTATTACACTGTAATACCTCTCCTCTTGTTGCTTTCTGAATAATAAAAGTTTTGATTTTTTTTTTTTTCCAGGAAGGGTCGGCTTTTTTATTAAATGTAAGTCAGCAGAAGGCATAAAGTCGGTTTATTGATTCTCATGTGACCATCACACTGCTAGGTGTTTTGTTGACATAAGGACTAACAGTGGGTTTGATTCTTTTCTACTTAATCAATATGAGGAACAGAGAAATAAGACATGCAAAGAAGATCAAATACACTGTCTCCATTCCTAGAGAAAATCACACTTTAGCTGAGTATTTTGCAAGATACTTTTTAATGTATATGTGTTCCTATCCTATTCTATTCATAATATATATATATATATTCCACTTAGCATGAATTTTTGCAGGCTTGCTTCTGAAGTGTGAGTGAATTTTGCCCATCTGCTTCAGAGCTACCTTTTGAGTTTCTTAGGCGATTGTGGCTTATCTGGTCCCCATTTCAGCCTTCTTGAGATGTTTGCAACAGATAGAGGGAAGCTTATGTTCCTCTTTCTGTGTTTTAAAATTTTTCTCTGGTCATTTTTTGCACCTGCTCTGTGCCAATGTTTGTTTGCAATGTGATACCTGCGAATGGAATTCATCTCTTATTGAGGGTATTTAGGGGCCTCTTGCAATTCTGCCTCATAAAAATGAGTCGTATCAGATTCCATGTCTGCCAAATCTCATTGACTGGGGAGAATATCTGTTTACGTTACAGGCAAACAGATTTTTTTTAAAGTAAATTCTAATCACCCCTCACTGGCCATATGAGCTGAGACCAGAGTCCTTTGTCCTTTTTCTTGTTTGTCATAAAAGATTCAAAGGCCAGGATTTAATCAACAGTCTTACTGTTGATTTTGAGAGCTACAAAAGAAAAATAATTCTGTTTGTTAGTCGTGCATCTGAGGTGGAAGTAAAAGCCAGGAATCCCTTTTGCCCCAAATTTGACAGGTGTTATTTTCAATATGCAGAATGGTCTGCTATGTAATGAGCTGGGGCTAGTGGACGTGAGAGGCTGCTGAAGATGGAGAGAGCCTCTCCAGAGAGAAGGGGCTCACTCTTCCTGTGCTGGTTTCCCCAGCACTTGGCTCAGGAGAGGTCAAAAAGGAGAACTGGTATCTTCCAGGCTGAGATACTACTCACAGAACCTTGTCATGGATAGATTTTTCTTCCTGTTCCTTATTTGTTCCATGCAAGGAGTCTTTATTTCTGTCAGCTGGAATTCCAAGCATGATATGCAGGTACTGGAGAAGCCATTGGGTGTTGAAGTTGTCTCTTTTTCTTTAAATGTTGATAAGAAACAGAAGTTGTCTTCCACAAAGAGGACAAAGGAAGCCTTCCTAGAGGAACCATGGAGCTCATCCATTTTTCATTTGTTTGTGCTTTTATCATTCATCGCTTAGGTGACTTCTTGCATAGGAGTAGTGCTGCATAAATAGGATGACAATCAAACAGAACTTTTGTTTCTGCAGTTTGCAGGGTTATTTTAGAATGCAGCTATGCAATAGTCATCAGGAATGAAGGGAAAATAGCCCCATTTTTGGTTGACAAAAATGCAGTGATATTTTTTTTTTTTTGTACCAAAGCTAGATGTGTTCTAGAGAATATATAATTAGGTTAGATCTTGCCATCGTTCAGAGAGCTTACACAGGACAAAAACTTTAGTTCTGCATTGCAGTAAAGCATAGTTTTTAGAAGGCTTCTGGGGCATAGAGCCATAGCAGTCTGTCTCCAATTGGGACATGCAGTTTTGATTCAGGAGGTTCTTGTCTTGAGTTCATGTTGAGAACTTAGTAGGGACTGAGAAAATGTTGCAGCTTTTTCACATACACTGTGCATTTTAATTCAATATCAAAGCAGCCATTTGATCGAAGAGGAGATTCATGAGGAGAAACTGGTTTTGGACTACACAGATCTTTTCATTCCTCTTCTGATGGAATGACTTATCAATGGTGATCTGTGGAAGCTTTTGTCCTCTGAGGGTTTTTTTGATGCCTGCCCTGGTGTGAATTGTCCATGTGTGGAGGGGTGACAGAGCAGAAGTGGGCAGTGGAGCTCCCAGCATTTGCCCCGATGAGTCTGCCCATAATTCAAGATGGTTTCTGTTTCTGTAGGATCCGTGTACCTCTTGGGCTTTACTCTCGTGCTTGGGAGACATCCATGAGCACCTCTGGCTGTAGGTAGCTTGTGTGATTTGAGTCAGAAAGAAAGCAAGTAGTTTTCCTGTACGGAAACCCTGGGAGCATTATAGTTAAGGCTTCATCAGCTGGGTGCTGTAACCTTCAAGCCATCGCCCCTCTGACTCAGAAAACCAAAGGCTTTTAATGCAGAAATGCAAATACTTTTTTTTGTTTGTTTCTTTTAACTTATATAGGAAAAATATTTACCTTCCCAAATTCTCAAGAAATATGCTAGATATTTAACATCTAAGAGGGCATTAGATCTGTTTGGGATTGGCTTCAGATAAACTTCTGCTCAAAAAATGTTTTATTTCTGGAATGGACTAATTTGGCAGCAATACTTCCTCATGAAGCAGTGGGCAGGAAATGTTAAGTCTGGAAAAGTTGTGTATCCTCCTGTATCACGCAGAAGTTGGTTTTATACAGTATGGTCTCATATCCCATAGTGTCAAATGATAATTTTGCAAGCAGTAAAGATAACTTAATTGGTAAAGTTATTATTCTGCTTTCTGAAAAGGCTTGAAGTGAGTTATGAAATTAACTGAGCTACTTTGTTACATCCTGCAATTCATTATGATCTGACTGTGCATCAGTCCAAGAAACAGAAATGCACACTTTGCCATTCCCCTTTTTGTGCTGGCCCCTCTCCCTTGGTACACTCATTAAACAGATGGTAATAGTCCTCCTGCAGAGAAAAATGAAGGCATGTTGCTTTCTGATCTTTGTGTGTTACATTAGTGGGATTGTGTACAAACCAGAAGAATTTCATGCCAAATCACTTCAACTCCTGTCTTGCCTGCAGTACCTTTCCACCCAAATTAACACGCAGTGAGTAATATTTATCATGGCATTAGCTCAGGACTGAGTTTGGCCTGTTATTTTCTGCACTTGATTGTTTTGGTTTGAAAGTCACCATTAAAGCTGTCTAAATTAAACTACCTGTGCTCCTTTACCATGAGGGAAGAACTAGTTCATTGTAATGGAAATTTCATTTCCTCTCTGCTATGACTACGAAGTGAAGCAATTCATTTTAGCAGGCTTAATGGTACAGTATTGACTGAAGTTGTTCTACAATTTTTAATAGCCCTTAATCTTTAAGCAGATGTAATAAATTAGTTCTATAAAGGAGTAATATCTGTGTTTAACACAATGCAGTATGTATTTTTGTAAAGCACTAGGGGGAAACACCAGAACAGCCCTCCAGCCATCTGTGGGCAAAGAAGACCTTAAAGAAGAGCAATGTTAGAGCTTTAAAGCAAAACAATCTGTTTCTTGTGTCTGTATCTGAACCTGATGCTTCTCCATTCAGAATGTAAAAATCTTCAGAACTTTTGAATAAAAGGTCAAATTGGTGAAGACAGTTTTTTTGCTGTTCAAAAATTGATCAGTTTTAACAGCTGTTTCTTTCTAGGTCTTTTGTGTTGTCATTATGCACAGAATGAAAGATTGCAAGATGCTTTGTGGTATTGATCGTAGCCTTTCAAGAGCCAACTGATTTTTCATTGAAGCTCAAGTTGATGGCTCTTAAAAAAACTCCAAAGCCAAAACCCAGGGAAAACCAACCTTGGAGAGATCATAATAAATTACTCTGATATACTGTTAATTGTACTTCAAAGTCTGCACAGCCTGAGACTGTGATCTCATGCAAAGTGGACTCCAGACAACTCAGGAAAATGTAGCCAGTTTCCATGCCAGAGTGGGCTGGGAGGCAGAGCTTGGCCTTCTCTATTTCTCAGAATTGCTGGAAATTTCTGTTCCAGAGGGGGCTGCTTAATCAGACTCCAAATATTTAACCACTTGATGTTTTCTACTCTGTTGCAGTGTTTCATTTTATGAATGTGCTACTAAAAGATTTGCTGAGGGATTAATGTATTTCTTGCTTGGTTACACTGTGTTACTATATCAATTCTTGGTTTTTTCTTCAGTGAAATGGTAGAGTCCAATCTGTTCCTCAGACTAGTGCAATTCCTACCCTTATATTCTAAAATTTTCCTGAAACTGAAATCTAAAAATTTATTTGATTGGAAGTAACAACGCTAGACGAACTGCTACAATAGTTGTATAATGATTACTTCAGATTTTCTTACAATGTCTTTCCCTGTGTTTTTCTTGCAGCTGAGCGAGATATCAATGTTTTCTGCGGAGTACAGACAATTACTATGAAGATAAATTTTTGCACAGTTCTTTTTTCTGGTTATTCTGAGACAGATCTGGCACTGAATGGGAAACATGGGGATGCCCACTGCAGGGGCTTCATCAATAACAATACCTTTCCAGCAGTGGTCATTTTCATCATCAATCTGAGTACTTTGGAATCTTGTGGAAATACTTTAGTGGTAAGACCAAATCAAAGTGAAATTATAGCATGGCTATGTATACATAGGATCAAGTGAATGCCCTTGACAGCATTGTAGCTTTCATAGATAATATTTACTTTGTCTTACCCAGTTAGAAACATTGCATGCATCAAAGAAAACCAGAGAAAGTTGGTAACTTATAATCTTGATTACTATTGAGAAAATATGGCGCGACACACATTTGTCCTCTGATTAGAAAGTATAATTTGAATTTAAGTATTTTTTGAGTGGAAGAAAGATTTTTCCAAGGTGTTTCTAAAAATCTTGCTGACCATGCCTTAGATTTTGCAGAAGTGGAGAGTTTCACAGTTCACGTGTATCACATTGAGTGATATCAAAATACCTCTGAATAACTTTAAAAAAAAAGTGTAAAAATGTATTATTCTCAAGGCTTTTATTTTGTCCAGAATTCTTATTTGTACTTGATCCCTGTCAGTTTTTATAACAAACCCCCTGTTTTGTTGCTAATAAATTTGCTGAAATGTTTGATATGGTCTGTGGCCTCTGTGCCTTAGGCTGAGTTTTCTTTTAAAATTTCAACAAAAAACCAGTTCAGCCAATTCAAGACTCTCTTTGCCAGCTGTAGCACCTCTCTGACTTGCAGTAGAAGAATTTTCCAGGAAGCAACTTCTTCCTGTTCCTGTGTATGGTCAACTTCCTGAACTTGCTATTTGATCATAATCGTAAGAGCTTGATGTTTAAAAAACAAAACAAAGAGACCCCCCAAACTCATAAGTCCAAATGATGTCCCCCACCAGGCTGCACTGAATACAAAGACAAAGCAGCTGCTAAAAATATAACAAAAAATATTCCCCCATCCTCTCTGTTTATTTGTGCTGTGCCCCCAAACAAAGACAAAAATTGAGCAGGGAGCATTTCTTATCATGTTCCCCACACTGGAGTTTTACAACCCCCTGCATTTCTTGGCTGTGTTTCACAGCAAAGGCCTTCAAGCTAATTTTCAATAAAAGTAAAGGAAAGACAACAGCTCAGGCAGAACTTGTGTAAAACCCATATCTTTTTGTAGTACAGTAGACTCAGCATTTTACTTTATGGGGGGTAGGGTGGTGAGGAAGTTAAAAAAGCTTTAGTTGTAGAGCACTGATTTAGCCTGTAGCGTTTAGGCAAAAACTCAGATCCTGGAAAATTCTATTTTCAACATTTTTGTGCCATTTAGAAAATTATTAAGTATGCTATGGGCAAAATGCATACCTGCTTCTGTCTTTTAGGTGTGTTTTTGGTAGACAAAGAAATCTAAATTCCTGATGTTTATCCTGTGCTACTTACTACAAAATGTTACAACTCGTGCACCTCAGGATGATTTTTCCATAATGAAATGTATTTTTAAGAAACCATGTGTTTTAAAGCTACTGAGAACATCTGTTTTGCTAATACAGTTCTACAAAAGAAATGCTGCAGTAGAAGTCCAGTGCCATGTTAATTTGCCCCGTTGTGTCTGTGCCTGCTGAGGAAGGAATTTGTGCTGTTCTCAGTTGTTTTCAAACAACCCCCTTATTCAGATCAGTAGCCACAGATGGAGTGGGCCTGGACTAATACCAGCAGAGAAATGTCCCTCAGTTTTCCTGAGGACTGTGTGTTTTTTTCAGGCTCTGCACACTCTGTGAGCTGAGCAATACAGAAAAGCACGCGCCCATGGATACAATTTAGGTTGCATTGGCATTAATTATGTATTACTTTTCAGCCCTGTATTTTCTGACAGTTTATAGCTTATATTTAAGATTTAGAAAGGTATAATATAAACAAAGCCACACACTCAAATTTCAACTATTTGGCTTGTGTCTGCTTATAAAGTACCCTATTTTTGATGTGCCCAAACTGAAGCTCAACAGTGAACAAATATTGTTTCTGTGAACAAAATTGCTTGTGTATTGGCCTTTTTACTGGATACAGAAGCTCATTTAAGGTAATACTTTTTAACAGTAATAGAAAAGTTGCTTTAGTTTTTTCCAATAAGTGGCATGAATTCAATGGGAATGTGGAGGAAAAAAAGTGCCTACCAAAAATATGCTTCCAAGATTCATAATTATTTTCAAATGTTGCTCAAGTCTGTTCTAAGAATAGGGATACAGCTTGTGAATTTTATATGCCTGATTCCAAGGAGGTGAAAAACAGAACACAAGGAAGATTTAAAAGTAAATTAATTTTTGAAAGTTTTAGTGAAGATATTTCAGAGTAAATTATGGGCTAAACCATCAGTGTCCTTCAGGTTTTTTTGTTACACAGTTAATTTCAGCTAATAATAATTTTCTCTCTTCCTCAATAGGTATCCTCAGCTCGAGGTATCAATGCTTATGGAAATACCTCAGTGGTACAGATAGGTAATGTTTCAGGCTATATTGATACACCAGACCCACCAACGATTATCAGCTATTTGCCTGGGCTTCTGTACAAATTTAGCTGTAGCTACCCACTGGAGTACTTGGTTAACAATACCCAGCTTGCTTCGTAAGTGTGCTTTTTCATTTCTGTGTGTTTCACCCCCATGTTTGTGAAAGCATGTATATGTGCATGCCATAACAGCATGTAGCAATTTTGGCTGTTTAAGAGTAAAGGGAAAGGAAAAACACCAAAAGAAGATGTGTTGCAAGGAAAAATAAAATTCTGTAGCATCATTATATGAGATAATATAATTTATGAATACCTGCTGTTATGAAGATGCCCTTAAAAATGTAAATCTTCCCTTAAAATTTTCTTTTCAAAAATTATAGCAGAAAAAGAAAACAAAACAAAACAAAAATACCCTTCATTAAATAGTTTGCAAGCTTGTAAATATAGAATACAAAAGAAAATATTTCCATGAGTAAACCTTGTGCATCATGTGAAGTAAGATCCATTTTGTCACTTTGCCTCTCTGCTAATTATTTTTCTGATTTGTGTTTCCAGTAGCATCCATTATTTTATGCATAGTTAAGACTATCAGTATTTTCACTATAAATTTCTGTTTCTGAAGTTTATAACCCAAATGCATAAATTAACTCTTGTGATATGACTCATTGAGTTTTTTAATGATAAAGCCTACTGAAGTATGCAAAAACAAAAATAAGGTATCTTTCTTCATGATGGTTTTTGGTTTCTGGGTCTGTTGTAGGTCATCAGCTGCTATTTCTGTAAGAGAGAACAATGGTACCTTTATCAGCACTTTGAATTTGTTACTTTACAATGTGAGTATAGAACACAGTATGACCTGGACTGAATTAATCTCTTCTCTATGTGGATACAAACTGTTTTAGCAGACAAAAGTATAGATTCCTCCTCATAATGTGCTGTTTCCTTCCCATTTCTCCCATGAGCCAAGCCTTTCTTCCAGGCATCTTTCATCTCTGAATTCCTTCTTCCTTTTTGTTTGCATGTACTTGCTGTCTTGTGTTTATGTGTCTGGTCTTCGAGGACAGACACAGTCTTTTTGTCCTGTATTTATACAGTTCCTCAATTTACAGCTCTGCCTTTCAGCTGGTAGTGCCATGTGACCAATCAATTGTAGTCATAACAATCATACTCCAGAGTGCATATTTTGTTTGCATTTATTATGTTTCTCTGTGTGTGCATAGGTGCTTTGTGCTTAAACAGAGAGTGCTCTGTAGAATTCTATACAATTATTCCACACCTACTCCCATAGCAATGAACTGTAGCACTTTGGCCGTGGGGTTTTTGTGTTCAAGCCTCATCAGAGTGTTATGATCATCTGTGGTTGTTGTCAAGGATGAATCAGTTCCAAATCTATATCCTGATTCACATGTTGCCTTGCAGTGTGGACTTTAAAGATTTTAAGGGTTAATAATTATGACAGTTTTCATCCAATGCTTCTTCCTTATGTTTTAGATAATTTGAATATGCATTATTTTAAAAGCTTTTACCATGTAAATGGGTTGGTGACACTGAAACATGAAAAATGCAAGGACCTCTATTTAACATTAATCCCTGAAATTATATTTTTGTGTTGATTAAAATTTTTACTCATACATTTTAAATACCTGATTTAAATATCAATTTTTCAATCTATCAAGCATCATTTTTGTAAATTATGAATTCGATTTTTTTTGCATTATTATTCCTGCCATCGTGTTGCTGAGTTATAATTCATGCAACTGATTTAAAAGTCAATGCTTTATGCTTTGAACATAATGAGCTATAAATATTGCAACAGGACATTTTTCAATGGCATTCTCTAAAAAATCACATTTGTTTGAAAGAGCAGAGCCCCAAATAACAACCTATAATCTGTTAAAATGATGATTATAGTTCTCTCCTTTTTTAAATAAACCTGTGATCAAAAAGATGGGGCAGAATGCAGATAGGCAAATTTCTCAGTCAAACCAAGCATTGACCACTGTGTGTTGACTGCCTTTCAGGGCTCAGTTCAGCAAACAGTCAGGAATAAATGCTATTGATGCTCATATTGAGCACATTTTTTTCCCTCAGATATCCCCAAAAGTCAAAATGTACTTTCATCCTGCCCACCCCTTAAGTTTACAAGTAGATCATGAACAGTGGTGTCTTTTCATCCTGGTAGCAGTCACATTACTTGCCCTAGCGAGTAGCATTGTCAGTGAATAATACTGCTAAGGCTGGCAGATTCCAGTGGTGGATATGCCCTTCTGTGCATCACTTCCCAGGGCTGGATGAATACATGGACAGCTTGTGCACTGCCTGCACTGCCTGTTGGGAGTGCCTCTGGAGACCTGCTGTCTTGTGGGATCACTTGATCCCTGTTAGTAGTCCTTGTCTGGGGCCTCAAGGCTCATGTCCACCCTTGCTATTAGTGAGGGGATGTGTACAGATTTGTTTCTTGACTGCAAGCGGCTGTCTTCTCCAAATTTAGCTGTAGTGTTATTTCTTAATGTTGACTCTTCATCTTCTAAGCTTGCCTCTGTCTTCTGTCATAAAATGTTGTTCAGATTTACTTTGTGATGCTAGTACATGTCATTGTTAGTAAAGATAAGAGCTGTTATGGTAGACTCAGAGTTTAGTAGCAAAATGCTTAATGGGCTTTCACAGAGCCTAAGTGGCTATGTGCTTTTATGCCTTTTTGCAAACGTCTCTCTAAATGAATAAAAACTACTCTTAAAGAATAAAAGAGCAACTATGGAGTGTAATAGTGAGGGTCTTGCACTTTTTAATCAGTTGCAAAATGTGGCAGAACTAAGTGTTATAGAAATGTATAATTAATTTGAAAGAAGGCAAACCTACCTGAAGGCCTCTGATACTGCATAGATTAGATATTGGGCATGCTGTTAATTTTGGCATTTGAAAAAAATTCACTTGGTCTCTGGTGTAAACCCTCTTGTTGCTGTCATTTGCTGATTGCCATGGTCTTGCTTGACACAATGAACCTGGTTGAAATCTTTTCTACCAGTTTTTTTCATATATATTGAGTGTTTTGAACTTTCACAAGAGGTCTTAACTTTCTGAGTCACTGTGCTATCTGCATTAGCACTGTGTTTGACAAAGGTGACTTTACCAGGTAGTGCATTTTGATATTCTCAATTAATATCTGACACACAGATCTGTTTCATTGCTTTGTTGCTAAAGTGTAAAGTGACGTTAGTGGTTTAGATTTTGAACAAAAAGCCCCAATAAAACAGCTATATTTAAGTAGTAGTATATGGGGAATTCCCAACTTTTATGTTGAATACAGCTTTCTTGAAACAGCTCTTTTGAAATACTAGAATTTAGATGAAAATGTTTGTTACTTGTAGTTTTCAACAAGCCAGCTTTGACAGAAACTACACTTTGGCATAACAGAATGTCTTTGTTCTCCCAGACTATAGCTCAAAATATATAACATCTCACGGATAACATTGCTAACTCCACTAATTCAAATAACCTTGGCAACCTTTCCTGGGAAAGAGTGCAGTGTGACAGCCCAGTAAAGCTCCCCTATTAGAAAACCAGAGTAGCTCCTATGTGTGCCTGTAAACTCTGGGAGACTTACTGAAGTGTCAATGAATGATGTGTTTTCCTTAATCACTGATCCAAACACCTTATTAAATCATATATTCTCCCAAATTGTTGCGTGGGGCAAAGCCAGTTTTAACAGACAAACTTGTAGGCAATTTCTCTGGCATTGCTTATTGCTTCTTCCCTTACAGAGGACAAAGTAAACAATCATTCTACACAGAAGGGTCAGAAAAATTGCTGAGAGCTCACTCTGGATGCAGATAGGTTGTTAAAATGAAATTTCTGTTACAATTGAGGCAATGTTTTTTTTTACAGGATTCAACCTACAGCCAGCAACTCCTTATTCCAAGCACAGGTTTACCTTTGAAAACCAAAATATATGCAGCTGTAAGAGCAACCAACCTTGATGGCAGGTACCATAGAGGGTGTTATTTCTTGTCTTGCTTGCTTTTCAGCCCTTGTTACTTATCTGATTTAGAAGCAACTGTCTTTCCTCGTAGCTTTTTGTATTTCAAAATAATGGTTGGTGTTCAATAATCACTGCTCTCAGCTGGAGAATGTCAGGTTCTTGGCAGTGAATGCATATTTTGCTGCAGTTCTTGTTATGAAAGTTTTCCTGAATTAGACTTGAAATCCTATATTGTTTTTTTAAAAGAAAATCCAGGGGTTTTAGAAGTGGGTTGGTTTTGATTTCCAGTCCTATTTGACCATGATTTCTGAGAGGAGGCGTGCAGTGTGTGTTGGTGTGGTGGTTGACTTACATAAAACCAAATTATTTGATTTATAAAGTTCTGCTGCTATGTTTAATCTTCTAAGCAGTTGAAGAAACAGGATGACTGGCATGAGACCTGTTTAATACAGTAACTCAGTTTCACTGTAACAGCCTGCACTACCTGTTTGTATGCTTTTTTGTACTGTCCTTTCATCTCACCTCACTCATATCCCCCACACTTGCATTGCCAGTTCTCCTCATCTGTCCCTTTATTCCTTGCGCAGGTGGAATGTTTTGATGGACTACTGTTACACCACACCATCTGGCAATCCTAGTGACGATCTTCGATATGATCTTTTCTTCAGGTAGGTCCTGTGCAAACCCAGTATTTTGTTGGTCCTTCTTTAAAAAAATAACTATAAACCTCTTCAATAGTGGTGTCTTAAATTGCCTGGAAATTTTAAGCATTATTAGTAGGCAGGACCAAGGGCTAGGCTTATAGATAGCATGTCAGAGCTTCTTTCTGGGTGAACATAAACATAGAAGCAGGTGCTAAATCATAAGAATTATGAAGGTAGAAAAGCATATATCCAAAGTAGTTCTACCAGAGATAACATAAATGCTTAAAGTGAATGGTTAAACTGGCCTTTATTTTACCAAAGGTGAATGTGGTGATTGACAGTGATGTGAAACATCAGAGACTTCAGTCCAGGAAAGTAGTTAAGCAAATGATCGAATATACACAGATGCTCCTACTTGTATTCCCAGTAATAACATTTATTTGAATTGGAACTTTGAAAACATCCTGGCAATATCTCAAATTAAATTTTATCCATGATACCTAATGCAGAGGTACTGTCTTCATTTGGAGTTACCTGTCTATACTGGTTAGCATACCTGATTGCTTCTTGCGTCAGGTCTCAAGTTTCTTTAAGCGCTGGAATTAAATGGTACCTTGGTTATTGCTGTGGTGCTGCAAAACAAAACAAGTATTTTTGTAGGAATGTGTTTCAGCACAGGAACCTGCAGCCTAACAGGCAGATTGTGTCTGCAGATATTTTCATTTCCAAGGAATTAAAGGGTTGATCTTGCTGCTTAAGCTATGATATTCCCAGCTAAGAGCTTCAAAATACTAACAAAGCTGCTCATCCCAGTTTCACTCTTCTCTACAAAAACTAGCTGTGACAAGGACCCGCAGACAACCATAATTGAAAATGGCAAGAGTCAAATGGGCCGGTTTTCCTTTGAGGTGTTTCGCTTTGTGAAGCACAAGAACCAGAAGATGTCCACAGTCTTCCTTCACTGTGTGACGAAGCTGTGCAGAGCAGATGACTGTCCCTTTCTTGTGCCAGTAAGTTGTAATTATCTGGATATAAAATAGACATCCCGGAGTTCTGCATACAAGTGTTATGGAAGTTTGGATGGCACAGAATGAAAGCGACTTGTAGAGACTGAAGTAAGAATGTTTTTTGTGTCTGAAGGAATGTGAAACTACTGTTGAAGAATATGGAAATGAATACTGTAATCTGGAGATAAAATAATACTAGACCTGTAAAACGCAGGTTATTGAATATATGAGAAATTACCTCTTTGCCTTATAGTCCTTAATTTTAAAAGTAACAACTCTGAGATGGCTTTCAGGTTGATGTTCTTAGTATAGTAGTAAGGTATCCATCATCACAGTGGATGAAGAGAAATATCTTAGAATATAGTTTATGGAAAAGTTAAAACTATAGAAAGTGCTGTTATTCTGACAAGAAAAATTTGTGGAATTTTCTCACGGTGAAAAAAAATACCATGCCCCTTAAAGTATATAATCTCTTCTATCATCTGAAAACTACTCTTGCGCTGCAGTTCATGATGTTACATGCATTTAAAATTAACTAATTTTAGGAGTATCAGGAACAACAAATAAATTTTGGAATAAGAAACATTTAAATAAACATATAAACACAAAGTTCTGTGCTGTCTTCAGAACACTGCATTGTCTCCCACTGAATGACTTCCCATTTAGAATTTTAAAGTGCTGTCACTTCAGTATACTCCTGAAATTTTGTATGTTTTATATTTTTATGTTACGCATTCACACAATTAATTCTGCATTCAATTTATGTTCTGAGATTTTTTAAGTTCTTTCACAAGAAGCTGAAACTAAGGAAATGCTCTTGTTTGGAGCACTCTTGAGTACAGTAGATTAAGGCAGATGTTAGATTACAAACGTTAAAGGTGGATTCCAGATGAGAGTGTTGGGGATTGTTGCAGTGTGTCATTGCTATTTAGAACTCCATGGAAGATGTGCAAGCTCTCACTCAAGAAGCTTGCAAGAATAGGGATTGTCAAGCAAAACAGATTTGTTGGGGAAAACTGTCTGTTAACATAGCTTTGGGAAATTAACTACTGAAAATTTAATATACTATAAGATGGATCTTGTACACAACAGCAATGTAGTTTTGTAAACAAAGTGAGGCAAAATAAAATGGGAAGCCACGAATTTATAAGATGCGCTTCCAGGCAATATTGCAGATGTTTTTATTGCAAAGTGATTTAATGCGTACTAAGAAATAAAATCGAAGTTGTAGTATTGCTTACCAAAGTGTTCGTATTACATCAGGAAGCACAAAAAGGCTGCAGTTCTGTTCCACACTGAGTCTATGATTGTTTTGATTGACCACTCAGATCTGCAGCAACAGAGAAAGAAGAGACACTGGTGGAAGGACGACTTGGCGCCCTCAGAGCACATCGGGCAATGCTGTAATCTCTGCTGGCCCCATCATTACAAGGAGTGGTAGGAATAAACAATCTTTCTCTATGGACTGCAGCAATTTCAGAAACCTGGGGAAATGTTTTGCAGTTTAATGTAAATTTGAAGTGACTTTTTGATGAGTATTTTTTTACTACTGCTGAATATTTTTTACGACATTTTTTACTACTTTGTTTGGTAGAAATTTTGAGCTAGTATTTTTGTTTGGCTCTCACATGCTTCCTCCTCCAATAAAATCACTGTGGGATACTTTTATACATATAGGGCCATTATAAAAGTCCAGACTCAGTGGGTTGACTTCTTTTTTCGTCAGATTTCACTGGAGATAATATAATTTAAGTTGCTGTGTTCAGTGTTGCAATTTAATTTGGATGGATAATGAATATTCACTGTCACTTTCTATTCACCATTTCTTCCAGCTTCCCTCTGGGTTTTTATCTACATGTTGCTTAAAATTAATGCGCATTATTCTTAGATGCAGCTATAAGAAAGAAATAGGAAAAACCCATTGTAAATTTTAAACAGTGGGCCAAATTCCTCTGCTTTAAATTGAGGGTGAAATTCCTTGACTTTCATTTTTATTGCCAATTGTTTTAGGAAAAAAATAAAAGGCAGCTCTAAATGTAACCTGCAGTCTCTGAAAAAAATGTATATGACTGCTGTTTAAGTTATACAAATTACAAATATTTATAAGTAATTGCAGTTAAGCAATTGTTCTTAGCAATCTTAGGTTTAGGATGCTGAGAGTAGGACTAAACCTGGTTAGGAAATCTAATTTAAAACTTGAGAATAAAATCCTTCTTTAAATACCCAGTAGTTGTACCTCTATAAAAAGAGAGCAACTGACCCTTCAGGATGGGGAACCACCTAACAAGAGACCATTTCTAGAACAAACAGGCTCCGTTATGAGCAGCATATCTGCAATGAAAATGAGTGGGTTTTTTTTCATTATACATGGTCCCATTAGAGTTGCTGCCATCTGATTAGCCAAGAAAAAGTGAGAGAAACGAACTTCAAAGTTGCATACTTGAGTACATATGGGAAATGAATGACGGATTTGCTCAGCCAAACAAGCATGCTGGAGTAATGCTGCCTTAGGCAAGGAATGGAAACTAGATACAACTTCTTATACAAGCCGCCCCTGGTAGGTAATATAGCTCATGATTCAAATGCTGTGGATGCTATTTTGCAATTCAAAAATTTAACAAAAAGGATACTGATCAATTATCTTTAAATATTGCATAGCTTGAAGCAAAGAGATCTGATGGATGTTTAATGGTGCCAAAGAAAGTATAAACAATTTTATAATTTCATGACAACTGCTGAGGTTGTTTAAATGACATCATGAATAAGGCTGAAAAAAGAAAATAATTTTTTAGGCATATTCTAAAGGTGGGTGGGTAAAGCTTTCTTGATTTCTCCGTCTTCATAGCGTGCTTTTGGACCATTCCACTCATGCTGACAGAAGGATGGCTTAATGGGAAGTACTTGAAAAATATTGGATTCAATTCTAAACTCTGCCATGAATTTCATGATTGGCACTGGGCAAATCCCTCAATCTCACTTGCATTTCCCTTTTTCTTCTGGATCAGTAATAGGGAATTAGTCCTGCTGTCAATTCCCTTTGTGAAAATAAACTTGTAAGAACCAGGAGGCTTATGAATAATATTGTTAACAAACTAAAAGGGGGAAGATCATGTGAGAACTTGACCAAAACTATCTGGATGATGAATAATTTTGGATAAATGTGGAAATTTTTGGATAATTTTTTTGAATTTAGGTAAATTTTGGATGAGGGATGCCAGGGTGCAGTGCTGGTTTGCACTGATGTGAGGGTGCATGGAAGCGCTTACACTGTTTTCAAGGCCAACTCTGGTCTAGCTTTAGCACAGATTTAGCATTTGTCCAGAGCCCATGAAACCTGGCTCAGCACGGTCCGTACGCCAGTAGTAGGACTGCACAGATGTGCCCTTCCCTCATTTGGGGTGGAGCTGAAGCTGTCCCAGGGCTGGCCTGTGCACATCAGCACCTGCAGAGGCTCCTCAAGGCAGCCAGGTCCCCCCACGACCTGTCACCAGCTGCTCTGGCAGTGGAGCTGCTGATGCAGCTGCCTTGGTAGGAACAGAAGAGTGCTGCTGCAAAAGAGTGATGGTCCTTCTCCTGTGAGTTTCTGAACTCATATTTCTAACATTTGGCTCTTTTCAGAGAAACATTATTCTTTTTTGTTAATCCAAAATAAGTCATTACAGGAGACGTACACAGAAGAAAATGTTTTAGTCTCTGTATGGAAACAAAGCAGGGATCTACTTGTGAAGTTAAAATTATGTAGCTTTTGATGGATGTCTCACTTAAGCTTGGGAGACAGCTGTTCAAAACAAATGTATATGTGAACTGTGCTCACAGATTGCACAAAAAGCCCCCAAAACAGTCACAAGAAATGTAATTCTGAAACGGACACTGGTAAGTAAAAACTGAAGACAAAATCCAAATGTTAGCCTGAATATAAAGCCACTATGTGACTGCCAAGAGGAAAATAAGCATGGCAAAAAGAGCTTTTGTAATAAGTTATGATTGCTGACATACTTTTTTCTTGTAAAACTCAAGTTTTTTCCTATAGAGTGATTTTATAATATGATTAAGTGAAGGGGCTTACATATAACATTGTGTTTATGCTTCTGTTCTTACTGAGGGAGACAACAGAACTGGCCAGCTTTTCAGGAATTAAGAGATTCCTGATTTAAGGTGGTGTTGGTTTGTTTTTCCACAAGACATTAAAAATTTTAATTAATATTTTAATATCTCCTCATATTAAAAATGAACCAATGACATGCAATTAATGTTATTGACCATATTTTAACAGAGATGCTAAAAGCTACTAGTCCATGTGGCATGTAGACTTGATGTATTTTTAAAATAAAGCTCCAACTATTGGCTTTTCTGTTGCAAGAGGGGAGGAGATAGGCATAGGTATTTTAAAGCAATGACACATCCAATTTTTTTTTTATATAGATGAGACGCCAACCAACAATTCACAGCTTGGTAAGTTAATCAGAATTTCAAGAAACATAAGAAAGGGTTTATGAGGGAAGCAGAACTGAGAATGAATAATTTTGATTAATATCTATGCACTGGGATTTTTTTTCCTTTTTTTCTTTTTATTTATTTTTGTTGCTTAAATGTGTCAATACCAACATGCACTGAAAAGAAAGTGATTGGTGAGTATGGAATTCTCAGTTTAATTTGTGCACCCAGCACCATCTACATTGAAACTTTTAATTCCTGTGATGAAATTGAAATAAAGATCTGATGCTACAGCATATGAGAGTGAAGGGTACGTTATAGCCACCAGATGCAAAACCAGGCTTCAGCAGTAAAATTTGCCCATGCCACGCAGAAGTAGAGCAGGAAAAATGTTGTTATGTGCACTCTAGCTTGGTTCACATCTCAAAGCCAGAAGGTCAGAGCTTCAGCTCTTGTTCTAGTATTTAACCACACAAGGAGCCTGGGGAGAAAGTTGGATGGAACTCGTGCCTTGCTAGGGCAGTGAAGGAAATAGACGGCAGGGGAGTTCAGCTCTTTAAGTTTTAGGGTGCTTTTCCTTTGGGCACTTGGAACACTTGTTTCAGCCTATCTGTTACTATTCTCGCTGGTAACAAAGAGTGGCTGATGGCTAAAAAGGATGATCAGGTGGTACATTGGGCCATTCCACCCTGTGTTTCTTCATAACAGGACTGTCCTCTGAACTCTAGCACTATTTGGTCCTTTCGTTACTGAGTTTAGAACATATAAAAGCAGCTGCTGTTCTTGTCTGTCATGGAGAAATCTTCCTGTAATTAATTGCTCCCTGGTGTGCTCCTACCTATGGATATAATTAAAATGATAAAAAGCAAATTCTTTATTTGCTGCACACAGTTTGCTCTGTTGATGGCTGCTATGTTTTCTTCCCATCCAACAAAAGAAGCATCCTCTGAATCACAGAGCAAAAGCCTTTCCTTTTCCTGTTGCTGTCTCTGTGGAGACGACAGAGGTAGAGTGAGGTGAGGTTACTGCTGTAGCAGCCACAAAGCAGTACAGTGTTGGGAAGGGGAGGGTAACCAGATCAACAGTGCTGATTGCCTCTCAGCTTGGGTGAGGAGAGTGGGATTAATGGTGTTGAGGGCAGGTGGCTGCTTCTGGGAGGAGCAGGCTGTTTTCTCACATGAAGACAGTGTTGTCATTTCACCTTACTCTCCACCACTGGAAATGGCAAATGCTCATTGGTACTCAAATGTTTTTTCCCCCTGTTGCTGGAAAACACAGTACTGGCTGTGGGTGTATGTGGCCCATTACTTCAGAACTGGTCCATGAGCAGCTTGCTGATCTACAATAAGTATTAAATATGTCACCTTTCCTACCTGAGAATTTATAAACATATTAAGAAGCCCTTTCTGAAGGTGTGCAACAAGCTTGCAGAATGTCCAATATCTGGTGCCAGACATGTCTGCTGATTTATATAGACTTTGAATTGAAATGTAGATAATTATAGTGGGGAAGAAATCCTTTCATTAACTTGATTAGACCACAAATCCTTATACATCTACTTTGATAGTCCTTGGATAAGTTCTTGGATAAGGCCTTGGATAATGATAGTCTTGCCTCAAGTAACTGGCAGATGAGGGATAATGCCTCATGTCTTTATCCCCCAACATGATTGATGTTGAAAGAATTAATAACTGTTTTCAAAACATACTTAGATAAGCTTTATCCAAGTAGACAGGCGCTCGTTCTGAGGTACAGTTAGTTTTAGTTCCTTCATTGCAATTATACAGTATACTGGGTGTTGGAAGGGGTGTTTGGCACTCATGAGAGAGAAAACCAGATGTCACCTGAGAATTTTTCTTCTCCTTGCAGCTCACCCAAACGGACCTCCTTTCCAGATGAACACAGTCACCAGTGCGCTGATTTCAGGCATTGTCGTCCTAGGAATTTCAAGCATTTTCTTTTTTGTATGTTCTCTAACCCTTCTGCGCAGGAACTGGCCCAACAGTTCAGTCCTGAGTGGCATCCGAAACCCAGTTTTCAACTGAAAGTGATGATTTGTTTGCACTTTTTGTATGGGGTTGCCTTTCTTGTCTGTGAAGTACGATACCATTAAAAAGAAATGTAAAGGCAACACTCCAGTGGTATCCAGCTTCTGTTCCAGCTATTCTGTATGTGTAGATTTGCTAGATGATGTTGTGTAGGCAAGCAGCAGTGACGTTGGTAACAAGCCTAGAAAATGTTGAGAATCTCAATTGTGTTTGCGATCAGACTGCATGACATTTGCCCATGAATGTGCTGACAATAGAGCTCACGTCTTCATCTGCTCAGTAAGGTCTGAAAGCTGAAGAGGCTGCAGATGAGAACCTTTCCAAGTATGCCACTTTAATACAGAGGCTGACATATTGAGAAAAGTTCATAAGTTCATGAACACCTAGTAAGATAAGGATAACTTCTCTTTTGTTATTACATTTTTCACAAAAACCAGTGTGTCTCAGGAGGAATTTGTTTTCAGCTGTATTGGCTAAAAAATAACCTAAGAAAGGCTTGGAACAAGTGACTTTTACTTATTTGTAATTTGGAAGTATTTTCTTAAATATATCTTCCACTGGCTTGTGGAGGTATAATGTATCAAGTATTGCCCAAACTTTCCTCACAGAAAATTATTTTTGGAGCACAGTTTGGCAACAGAGTAAAACTCTCACTAATACACTAATTGTTAAGGGCAAGTTTTGCCCCGTGAGTTTTTCAGTTCTCAGATAAAACTTTCATTTCCACATGAACAGTCATCAATCATTGCTTATTTTTTTAGCAGATTTTCTGTGTGAGTTAGATTTGTTCACTGCATGGATGAGGGGAAGAGGGCAACTTGAAGGATAACAGGCTACAAGCAGTACTGTACTGTTGCCTCTAGTTAATCTGATGAACATCAGACTTACCTGAAGTGAGTGTGAGTGGCAGGTGCCCTCAAACAGGAGCACAAGGCAGTGGTTTAGCTGTGTAGACAAAAATGCTGGTACTAGAGAGGCCACCATAGACACAACATATTAAGCTGGACTGGATAGACAGTTGGGATTTTGGTCACACATACAGCAGTTAAATTTCATTTTTCATGTACTGTACATATTGGCCTAGAAACACCTCATTGATATTTATCATCATCATGTGTTAACTGTGTCTGTGTCTTCACTGATGTGACAGAACTGGCTAATGATCAGGGCTTTTTGGCTCTCAAGGCTAAAGACAAATACAGTCTTGTTCTCAGTTTTCTCTGACCCTGCAAATGCTGTATAAAGGCCTGTTGTTTGCAAATTCCACTGTGCTATAGGGCGGTATCCCTAACAACCAATACTGTGCCTGTTTTCCTCCAGTCTTAATACCTCAGAAACATTTTTGCACTTCAGGGGTTAGGTCTGATGACATGTAAAACACGATTGTTTAATAAAATTAAACATTTCAGAGTGGATGCTTTGTCTGAACTGTTTTCCTTCCCTTGTCCAATTGTTACTTTTCTACATGCTTCCAGGGACCTCATTCTACAAAAAGGAAAAGTGGACCTGCTTTTTTAAGTTGGTTTGGTAAGAGCTTTCAATATACAGGATAAATTAATATAATTATAGATTTACTGACCTTTAAAGGAGTGTGGTAAACTCTGGAGATTTATATTCCAGCCTGGGGATAAGTAAATTCAGATAATCTATTTTAATTTACTAATAAAGACAACCACAAAATCCCTTTAATGTAATTACTACTTAGTAAGGAGCAGCTTTAGCTGCTTTCAGCTTTAGCTGAAAGTTTCCAGTGATGGAGATAGCCATTATCATCCTTAGAAAGTTGTTTCAGTAGTTAAATGATCTCTTCAATACTTTTTAAAATGCTTACTAATGTGAATATGCTCATTTTAACTTACCAGCTCTTAAAAAATGTCAGGCTTATGTCTGTTAGAGAGAGGGAGAGACCCTTTTTCTAACACAAGTCCCATACAGTATGGCTAAGACCACAAAAAAAGAAAGTGAATGGTGTTGGAAGCAAAGTTGCTGATATAGTATCATACTTGTCCTATTTGATTTCTCTGTGTTTCTGGAAGACAGTTTGTTGCTTTTCTATAAGGAAGTGTATTTCATAGTAATTAACATAGTCTTGTTGACCACTTTTTTGAGGCTCAGGTTACCTATTACAAAAATGGAGTTGCTACTCAATAAAGTGATATGCAGAATGTTATTCTTCTATTTTTTTTTTAAATTTCTGGAGTGTTTTGTTTCTGTGAAGAACCAGGTAAGATATTTGTGTAGCTTTTGCTCATGTGGAAATTGCTAGGCACCAAAGGGTGTTCTCCCTCTAGCTAAATTAGTGACAGAGTTCCAACAGCCCTTTGTAGGAGTCATTACTGAGCTTGCTATGGATTGTGAATGTATTTGTCTCCATCATCCATTAAAAGAGATAAATATGTGTTCCTCCTTGGTAAAGAAACATGGAGAACCACAGGTAGAAAATGATGCCTAAACCAAGGCTTATCCATTTACAGATCTGACATGGGAATGATTTATGACTTGCAGGGGAGCTTAAAACTTGAGCCAGGCTGGCAGAATATTTCTAGGAAGGTGAAGACTGACTGAATTCGTAAAAACATCCCCATCCTGGTTTGTTTGAAAGAAATATACAGCTATTAAGGAACACGTGGAATCCATGATTTGTGACCTCACAAGTTTCAAGTCACAGGTTAGGCAGAAGTTGAGTGGATGTGCATGAAGGTTACACCCTACTTTTTGAAAGGCAGGATGTCAGGTGAGAGGGAATGGGGAATGGAATGAAAATATAAGTTTTAAATGAAGTACTGAAACTAAGACGACCCTTTGTACCTTGTGTGAAGGAGCTCTGGCCCAATACAAAATGGGAGTTTTGCAGGTGTTAAATGAAACAGAACTGCTAAGAGAATAGTGGCTCTGATAAGGCAAGCACTTCTTTTAGGGGTGCCTGTTATGTGTGTTTTAATGGATTTTTTTGCACATAGGTCAGGTTTCTGCAGGTAAGCACAGCGTACTGAAATATTCTCAGGTCTGTGACTCAGATTGTGGAGCAGACTGAAAAGAAACTGAAATTTTAAGCTCAGTTCTAAATCCAGTAGAATTTAATAAACCTATAGAAGGGTGAAAACACTTCCAGGCTTCCCCCTTGGAGGAGATAAATGGCATATCCAACTGGAACTGTGTATACCAGTGCCTGGGATAAATTCAGTTAATGTTTGAGAAACAGGCCTTGGCCAAGAAACCTGGAAGTAAATCACATTTCCTTCATTACATACTACATTACGTCACATACTTCATTAAGCAGACAGTATGTCTTACTCTTGATATCTCTGAAGATCCACAAAGGTGCCAGAAGAAGCAGACTTGCTCTGATTGAACTGCTCACCTCTTCATCTGAACTGCTCACCTCTTCAGGAGACACAGGTAGGAGTGTTGTGGTAAACTAGGAAATGCAAATTGTTGCAAATTGGTCCTTCCTCAGGTTACTCCCAGGTTTTATTTCAATGCCACTTGGACCTTCCACCATGCCTTTCAGGAAGAAGCAGGTAGGATGGACGTGGAAGAGACATGAGAGAATAGCTCTGCACAGACTGGACCTGTGATTGCAGTACTGTCATGGCTCTTTGCCATAATGTTTTTTTTGAAATGTTTTATTAATTTTTATGTTACTAGTTAACTAACTCTTTCCTGCTATTTAAAAGACAATGTTTGTGTAATTAGGAAGCACACCCTTGAGATTAGAGAACTGAAAATATACAGTGGAAAAGGTGTTTAAGTGACTTTGTGAAGAAGGCAAACTAATCCTGTTTGGTAAACCAAGGAACGTGCTGGCCAGCCAGAGTTCAAATGCTGCTATTGCACTTTTAACCTCTGCTTTTGGACTTCAGGGTGTAGCATGAAAACTACTTTGTGCTAAAGCAGGATGCAGTCCTGTTTTTGCAACCAAAAAATACCATTTTGCAGGGGAAATCTTCACTCTTTTGAACTCATAAGGTGGTGGTGGTTATAGACATTCATTATTCTTACCTGCATAGGCATAAAATGCTGTTTACATCCTGAACTGCTTGTGTATAGACTCTATGTCGCTGAAGTGTGTTTATTGAACTTGTTTCTTTCGCATAAATAAAAAACAAAAATAGCTTTGCCTCAGCATGTTTTTGACCCCTTTTTCTGGAAGATTAAATTGAGTGTTCCTGCCAGCAGTCTGCTATATTTCTTATCAAGAAAGAGAGGATGAATGAACCCATTACAGACACTCTTCTAAGTGGACAAAGAAGAATCTGCTCTTGTGACTATTTTCTCCTCAGTGTTGTAATCCCTTGTCTCTTGATTCCAGCTGAGCTTGAATCAAGCTCTATTCAGACAATTTTATTACTTTTATCAGGTAGTAATATGTCTCTGCGCAGCGGCTGTTTTGAGGGACAGGTTTTAGTGTGTTTTTTTAAACTAATTTTTTAATTCTTTTGTTTTTACTTTATGAGGAGGAATTAGTGAACTGGACCAGTCAGTGCAACCACAAGCTACTTTATACAGCAGATATTCCTGATTTGTGTTTTCCCCTCTCCAGGTTCTAATAGATAAAATAATGATCCTGTTAATGCAAATGCTAATTGCAAATGACTGTTAGGGAAAAAATTCAGTGTAGGGTCTGTAGTGGATGACTCAGAGGAGCATGCATGCACAGTGGGTGTGTATCCTGCACAGGCTTGCACCCATTCTGGAGCCCGTGACATGTCAGGAGATAAGTAGACTGGGCACCATCTCACTTCAGAGTCAAACCCTGCTTCTGGATGCTAGGGCTGCACAGCTGAGTCAGTGCCATGTGATGGAGTGATGCCTTGGGGCTTCCCTCCCTTACCCCAAAACACTGAGCACTGGGTTGCATATTGTCATCACAGCACTGCAATTAGTATGGGCAGAACCATGAGATGGGTGGCCAGAACAGGTGTTCCCTGTCAGCCACCGTGTCCTGGTGCTTCCCGGGCTGCAGGTCTGACTCTGGGAGAGCTCTGCATGTGCAC